TCAGGGCCCAGTCGGCTAATACAAAAATGTAAGGTAGTAGGGAATGCGTGGTGGGATTTTGTGAGCTTGAGAGAATAGGCCCTAGGTCAATAGATTCAAATCCAAAATTTTAAAAAAGTGATGACAAGGAGGCTCTGTGTGGCCATCTCTTCTTCTGGGTTGGGCATCACGAGTGCGTGCACAGTGTCTGGCATCCAGGTCCTGGCATGTGACATCCCCAAGAACCCCAGCTTTGCTCTGATGCTTCAGAAAAATCCTCAACCCTGCTTGTTCACTCCCTCCGGGGGACACCTGCCCTGGGAATAACGCCTGCCTTCAGGCCATCCTCTTCCTTCTCTCTCTCTTTCTTTCCTGCTGAAGAGCAAAGCCAAGGCCCATCTTGACTTTGGGTCCTCAGACTCACTAGATAAAGGAGTCAGAATCTAACATGATCTTCTGCTAGACTCTGAGTCTCCACCCAGGCCTCCTCCTCAATCTTCTATGGGAATTGCCTTGGTTGAATGGAGTTACCTCATCTGGGACCATCCACATCCACTGAAGGGTCCACCCAGGGGTACAAAGGGCCTGGCCTTCCCACCCTAACGTGGGATAGCTCTGAAGATCCGTCATTCCCCATGGAGGCTGCCGAGGCCTTTGCTGAGACGGCATCTCAGCCAGCTTCTCCCTCTGCCCAGCCCTGCTCCTTTCTCCTGCCTCCACAGGGGTTGGTACCAGGAGCACTTCCTGCACCATCATTTCCATCTCAGAGTCTGTCTCTTCAGAATACCAGCCAGGCCATTCCTGGGGAGTAGGGCATGGGCTGAAATTCAACAGGGTTGGGGATTGAATGGGACCGTTCTTGTAGGATTGCTGCGAGGATTAGAGGGACTAGCATGTATGAAACGCCACACAGTGACCAGTATGTTGTAAATCTTATATAAATTGTTAGTTGTTCTTTTCTGTGCTGGTCAGACTGCACCTGCCATATTCGGTGTAGCTGGGAGCACCCCACTGTAAAGGTGAGAAATGAGAGGGGAATGACCAGGATGGATTGGGAAATGTGTCTTTAACCCTCAAAATAGCCTGCCCCTCCTTAGTCTCCACCCTCCAGCTCACCATGTCACCTGTCTGACAAACACCTATTCTGTATGTCCTTCAACCCCTCGGCAGGTGTCACCACCTCATGGAAGCCTTCCTTGACTACACTTTCACTTAAAGATTTCTCCAGCTTCTTCCACCTTTTATTCCTGGACCATGTGTATTTTTGCTGTTGTTTGTTTGTTTGTTTGTTTTTATCATTGCGCCTGTTACACTATCCCAGTTTGAATATGACTCTGACTCATTTATCATCCCTTGGGACAGGTTAGATGTTCAGTGTATTAGTTTCCCAGGGCTGCATTATCAAATTGCCAGAAATTGGGTGGCTTAAAACAACAGACATTTATTCTCTCACAGTTCCAGAGCCCAGAAGTATCATAGCGTATCTGGTTCATGCTCCCTCCAAGGCTCTAAGGGGAAGCCTTGGTGGCCCCAGCATTCCTCAGCTTGTGGCTGCACCACTCCAGTCTCTGCCTCCATCTTCACGTGGGCCTTCACACAGCCTTCTCTCCTGTGTTTGCTCTTATAAGGACACCTATCATTGGATTTGGGGCCTCCCTTAATCCAGGATGATCTCGTCTCAAGCTCCTTAGCTTAGTTACATTTTCAAAGACACTTTTCCCAAATAAGGTTACATGCACAGGATCTAGGTACACATAAAACGGCACTTGAAACAGTTCATAGAAAAATAGAATTTGGAGATACAAGTCTTTCCATGAACTTTTTGAAGTCCCCTCATATTTTGGTACACACCATTCAACACACTATAGTCGATATATATTGATTCAACTACACTGAACTGGCTTCTGTTCGGTCTACTTGAAAAGCAATGAGGGTCTGCAGATGGGCAGTTTCAGAGGGAATATAAGGAAGGGGTGGAGACGGAAAACGTGTGAAGGAGAACAGGATGGGTTTTTTTGACTGAGCGTGAAGGAGGGAGGTGCAGAAGGAAAGGAAATCAAGGACGGCTGCAACATGACGGGCATGAAGAGCTGGGAGAAGAGTCAGGAAGAGGCTGGACATGTGGAATGATGTGCTTTCTCTCGGCAGAATGAGAGGTGATCACAAGGACAACTCATTGGCTGACCCACTGACTCTCTTTGCCTCAGTTTCCCCACAAGCCTATGGCACATCCAGCTTTTCTGGGATGAGCTGAGTTCTCTGTGCCATAATTAGCCTGTGTTGCTTCCCTGGAGGACACTTGACCAGAAACAGTGACAAGCTAATAGAGCAACAGTTTTAAAATGCTGATTTGATTTATTTTATTACGTGGGTGGGATGGGCTGAGTGGCCGGCAGGAAGGACAGCTGGTTCCAAATGTTTGAGGCCTTGTAAAATGATGCACATTTACTTATAAGACTGTAATAAACAGCACTATCATCCCCAGGTGCAATGGCCAACTTGGGAAAATTGGGCATCTCCGTCCAAGGTCAGACCTCGATTTACTGCAAAACACAAATTTACCTATTATGATTAACATTCTTTAATAACATTTTTGTGATAGGCTGAGACTTTAAAATTTGTTCAACATTGTACATGAAATAAGTGTCTCTAAAACCTGACCCCTAAAGAATGATTTAAGGCAGAGAAACCTGGCAGGGAGGAAACCTGTTAATGCCTGTTGCTCCTCTTATGCATGTTAAACACAAACAGACTTTACCTACACACCGTTCAGGTGAATGGCTATTTATTTACGAGCTTTGTTAATATTTTTCTGAAGTGACCCACTGTAGGATGAACAGCTCCTCCTCCCCATCCTCCATTCTCTTCCCCACCCACTCTCTCCTGTGCTCCTTTGCTGCTTCCAGCAGGGCCTGGCCCTGGGCAGTGGGCAGTCACCAATGCTGGCTTCCCCTGCAGCACAGATGGCACACTCTGGGCAGGAGACTGGCCACCTGACGTGAAGCCTCGGGTCTACCGCCACCCAGCCTGGTCACCCCTCCTCTCTGGAGCCCTGTTTCTGCAGCGTGGAGCTGAGAAGGATGCCTGCCCACTTACTACTGAGGGGAGCTGTAGAAATGAAATAGATAATTTGAGTTCAACTCTCTTCTCAAAGTTAAAAAGGCCAAAGTTGATTATCTAGAAAGGTGGAGGTAGCTGACAGGCTGTTGGGTTTTTGAAGCCTCTAGAAGGAGGTTGAAGAAATTCCCAGAATCCTTCCCATCTTCCTAAAATTGGACTGGTTAGAGCCATTTAGGCACATGCTGCAGGGTCACCAAAGTGATGCCCATAATCCAGAGATACAGTGAAACTGAGGGCCTCCTCAGTGCAGGGACAGATCAGAATTCCCCTGGTGTCAGAGAAAATCAAAGGACTGTAGGCAATCAAATACATGGTTCACTGTTCATGTACGAACCCAGACTGGCAGACCGTTTATCTATCTGTTACCTACGTATCGATTTATTACCTACAAACATTCCTGAGAACATGCAAGGGTCAGTTAGCCGGTGTGCGGGGAGAGAAAAGGATGCCCAGGACGTGCCCTACCCCCAAGAGGCTCTTCCCTGAAGGGGACATGAACACACACATAGGCACACATGGAGAAGTGTGATAAAATAACGTCGTCTGTTTACCTGTCTAGGGCCTGTCTCCCCAACTCCAATAAAATCTCCATGAGGCAGACTGCGTCTGTCTGCTTTCATTACTGTGCCCCACTGCCTGGCACACTGCCTGGTGCAGCATAGATCCAATAGCTATTTGTTGAGTAAATGGTTGAATGGACTCATAAGCAAATGAATAAATGACAATACATGCACAGATACTGACGGGACTCAAAGAGGAAGCAGTAGGGAGGAGCTCATGGGGAGGGTAATATTTGAACTTGACCTTGAAGAATAGGAAGTATCTTGCCAGATCCAGAGGAGGTAAAAAAAAAAAAATCTGATCATTGATATGGGAGCATATCAACAAAGAACGAAGAAGGAAAAAAAAAGGACACAGTGTAGGGGGGCCTGGTGGAAAGACAGAGCAGCAGGAACTGAGGACACAACACAGAAATAGTATTCAAGGCCCTGAGCAGGAATCTCAGCTTTACAGTTAAGGGTTGGATTTTATCCTGCAGGAATGGAGAGCTGGTTAGGATTTTCACACAGGGAGGTAAGTCGATCGTCTGCTCATTAGAAAGGTTGTTCTTGCTGCAGTTTGGTAGATGCATTGGAGCCTGGGAGGCCAGGAAAGCAGTTGGGGGATTGACGCTGGAGTAAGACTGAGTGTAGCTTATGGGGTGAACAGTGGGGATGGAGTCGAGAGGCATCTTGGGGATGAGATTCTTAGGATCCGGTAACGAATTAGCAAGATGGTCATGATAGAGGAGCAGGAAAAAGAAGACTCAAGGTTAGCGCCCAGAGTGCCGGTTTGAAAATACGTCAGCAATGGAGCCTCTCCCTAGGAAAGGAGCCTGGATCCACTTAACCAGTAGAAAGGCCGAGAAAATAGGTGGATGTTCACATCTAAGACTTCGAAGAGAAGTCAGGGTGCAGATACAGATTTATGAATCTAGCTTTACCTGCATAGAAAAGGAACAGTGAAATACAAGAAATAATACAAGAATGAAATCATTTCAAAATAGTTAAATAAGGAAAACATGAGATGAGTAATGATGACATGCTGTCATCTTTCTAGATGGTCAACTTACACAGTGACAAAATATATCCAAGCAACTCACTGAACTGTTCACTGGTCATGTTGCGTTCCATAGTCTACACACAAAGTCCAGGTGGAGAGAGGGCCTCAGGCCACCACGAGGTGTTTCCTGGGTCCTTCTGTCACGTGTATATTCATATGTGTCCACTGGGGCCCACTGTGGGCCAGGCACGGACCAGTCCTGGGGACGCTCAGCCCTGCAGGTCTCTGCTCGCCTGCAGATGGCAGGGCACCAGTGTTGTCAGACGTGAATAGGAGCTACCAGTCAAACCAAACGTGAGATGGGAACTCAGACAACGGCCGTGAAAGAGCCAGCCTTAGAGGTCAAGGAGGGCTGCTCCGAGGAAGTGGCACTGGAGCTGAATGAGAAAAAGAAAGACAGTGGGCATCCAAGACAGAGGGGACCGTGCCCTGTTGGGGGGGGGTGTAGAGAAAGTGTGAGGACCAAGTGGAGAGACCCGCAAGGATGAGGTGGGGAGGGGCCCTATCGAGGTGGTCGTCAAGGAGCATTTGCGTGGAAAAATCACCAGTCAGCATTTGATAAAGCTAATGAAATGCCTGCAAAAGAAAAGAAAGTATGGTTAACTCGGCTAATTAAATGAACTAGGGATGCATAACAATGATGTTTTATGATAGTGAATATAGCTAATGAATTTTAACAAATTAACTCAATTTAAAATAATTTAATCTCTTCATAGAAAGTGCCTTTGCAGAATGCCTAAATTATGCAGGAGTTCAGTAAATATGGCTCAAATCAGAGTTGTTCTTGCTAAATGGTTTGCTTTCCCACATTGGATGATGATTGCTAGATTTTTGTCCAATTCAACTAAAGCGCAAAAGCATCTAGAACGTTGTCTGGCTCATGGCTGCTGTCCTTTCAGTATCTTAACAGCCTCCCGTCAACCATGTAGCAAAAGTCTGATGCTCTTGGCTTTACGGGTGAGGCAGAGGAGACTCGTGGAGCTTGGGGACAGTGGCGAGGTCACCTGCCAACACAGGAGAGCAGCCCACACCCTCACCTTGACTGAGGCGCTGCTTCCACCGTGGCTACTGTCCCCTGCAAAATAAAGCTCTTACATTTAAAAAATTTCTTAAGTAATTGAATTATTTTAAACACATCTTTTTTTAACCCCCAGTGGAAATGCAAAGAGAGATTTCGAATTACGTGTGAGATGTTAATTACTTAAATCTGACTGGGTGGTTGTTTCCATGAATGAATGCACTTAATTAATTTTTTCCTCTAGCTTCTTGCTATTTCCTGGTTGTAATCTATTTTCTTTCATCCCAGGGGCATTAAAAGGACAACAAAAGAAGAATCCAGTGATTTGAAATTCCAGAACTTCACTCCGCCAAAAAATAGGTCAGAATATTTGCTTGTTTATTAACAGAGGAGTACAATTTTTGATTCTGTAGCAAATAAGCTGACCATCACCCACACACAGAAAATGTTAGTGTGATAAGATTACACGGCTGGCAGTGAACCCGGAGGTTACATGGGGACCAAGGTAAAGCAGAAGGGATGTGGCGTGGGTTGAACAGCCAGCAGGTGTGGGATTCAGGCCTAGTCTGGGAAGCCCCCGCCCGCACGGCTTTGCAGGTCAGGCCTATGTCCACTCCCACCCCCAGGTCTCTAAACAGCCAAGAGAGCCACTGAGGAGGAGGCTTCCGTTCCTGTACCAGGGATGTTTTAAATGATGGAACGTGGGCCAGGCCACAAGTCCACTTTGGGGTCTCACATGCGAGCAGACGAGAAAGCCAAGTGCCTCTATGGTTCCTTTTCTTTGACCTTCAATTGAGACAAATAGTTGCAGAAAAGTAATGGCAGCAAGACTTGTAGAGGCTGCTGAAAATGCAGAAACAAAAGACAAAGTCCTACCCTCATGGGGCTCATGGAGTAGCTGAAAAGCTCAGAATGTGGTGCTAACTTGGTTAAATGACTGACAAGAGACCAAACCCAGCTCTGCACTGATGGGCAGACTGACCCGAGGCAATGTCCTGAGGCTCAGACACTGTGCGGTCCCTCCTGCACCAGCCAGGACTTCGTCGTCGAGCCCTTCTGGGATGGTCTCTAGTCCTAGTGGTATTGGAGGGTCTCCATGATATACATCAATCCTCACATCCAAATTTAGATCAACTCAAGTCAATCCTCCAAGCATCCTTCAGTCCCTCCCATGTGCCAGACACCATAAGCAGTTTGGGATCCTAAGACATGCCAGAATAAATATCTTCCCTAAGCAGAATGAATGAATTCGTAAGACAATACTTGAAGTATTTTTCAAAACCACTTTAAGCAAAGGAAAATTTGTGGCTGTTCTCAGACTTCTTTAATGTTTACATTAAATACATTTGAATAATGCATTTTAAGTCCGTTTTTGTTATTTCTTGACAATAGCAAGAGATGGGAGATGGAAGGGTTAGAAACCTTCCTTCAAATGGAGAGGGTTGAAGCAATTACATACATCAAAGTAATATTTACTGTTACATTTGGAAAAAAAAAAAGAGAGAGAAGAGCAGTGCTTTTTTCCAAAACAAATTATTTCAGGATGTGTCATAGCATGCTCAAGATATATTAAAAAGAGCAACAGACGATGTTTCTGCAACCTGTTCCAAACCATTTATAAACTCAAAAAAAAAAAAAACCCGTAGACATACAAATCTCTGTACCACTGCATATTTTATAGCAAAAGTATTATATGAACGTAAATTAGTATTTGAGATATATAAATCAAATCGAAATGTCTGAAAACTGCATATTTGGTTCTGTCTTACTTTAATAACTATTAGACCGATGTATTCATCCCCACAGAAATTATATTGATCAGCATTTGGTGATGAAGGTGAGTCGCTGCTGGTGGACAGGGCTGCAGCGTGGGATCAGTTCGCTGGGCACGGGGTTCAATCTCAGCTGACCTGCCTGCTAGCCGTGTGGCCTCAGACAAGCCTCTTTCTGTTTCAGTGCCTCGTACATTTTAGAAATGGTGTTTGGGAAAGCAGACTCTTTTGTCCATCCCTGAACCTGCAGCAACGCCTGTGTTTGGGGAATAAATGAATAACCTCTTTTGTGTGCCCAGAACGTAGTAGGTTCTCAATAAATGACATAGGCTAACAGTTGTGGGGTGCTCGCCGTGTGCTAGGCCTGTTCTAAGAGCTGAATGGTAGCTCTCAGTGGATCCTAACAAACACACTCATTAGTCTCCCTCTATAGGAGAGAAGAATGCAGCCTAGAAAGGGTAAATAACCTCCCTGAAGCTAGATAGCTAGTTGAGGTAAGGTAAACAGTAGACATAATTATTTCTACTAATATTGAAAACAACCCTGGCACTCCATACCACGGCCCTCTTGCTAAGCTAGCTGTGGGAGTTAACTCTTCCAACAGACACAGAAGGGCTGTCCACCCCCTTCCCTCCCCAATCTCAAATGTGCATGCCACCTTGTAGCTTTACTGAGCTTCTTATTAGAGCAAGAAATGCCCCAGAACTCAAAAAAAAAAAAAAAAAAAAAAAAAAAAACTCCAGAGGACCTGGAAGGACGGGTTTCTGAGGAAGTGGCAGCAGGCTGGCCTCACCCATCAGGAGCACCTACGGAGGCGTGCGCTCCAGGAGGTTCTGAAACAGGCGGGGTTTTCCCCAGGAGCCCTCCAGGGAGTTGCATGCCCCAGATATTTTTTATGAAAATAAAATAGATAAGAGGAAGATTCTTTAAACTAATCAGGGATACCTTTAAGAGAGAATGAACCCCTTTATTCACTTATTAAATATGAGCCTTGGTCTGATTCCACCTGGGGGAGAATTTCATCTGCTTCAAAGCAATGTGGGGTTGGGAGATCCCCTCTAATCTCGGATCTGCAACAAATATGTAGAGCCTGTTCTGGAGGATTTAAGTGGCGCGTGTGTACACATGGAGTAAGTCCCTCCATGTGCTCGATACTGTTGGCCTTGTTGGGATAGGACAGGTCCGTGAAGACACCCAGACTTGGTCTGCAGTGCATCTGTGAACCATCTCACTCTTGAATGCTCCCTCACCTGTGCTTCCCTGTGTGTGCGAGCATGGCGTTCATTCACTCATTCATGCTCATTGGACAGCATATTTGTTTGTCTGGGCCATGCCCCAGGCACTGTGTTAGCTGCCAGGTCTCCCTTTTAGGAGCTGGGAGTCTAAAGTAGGAAGTCGGAGAAGGCAAGTTGCTCTCTATCTAGTTATGCAAGTGTGAGTGATTAGACAGGTGTCAGGGACATGCCAAGTGACGACAGGAGGGCTTTGATGGCCACATGGGAGGCAAAGAATATGCTTCCTGTTCTGGCTGTCACTACCCCACCCTTCCCTCTCCAGTCAATCATACATTCCTGCTGCATTACTTTTCTGAGACGCAGCTCTTTAACTACGTGCCTTGCTAAGCTCCACACTGCCTCCAGGATGACACAGCCCTGCTAGGGTGTCTCTTCAGGTTCCCTATTTTTTGAGCACATTCATTTTCAAACACTAGCTCCCGAGCTCCCGGATGCAAACCCTCCACCTCCGAGTGGTGCAGATGAGGGAATGTGGGCCCCGCCATCAGACAGGCTGGGCCTGACACACAGCACTGTCCTCCAGAAGCCAGCCTCAGTCAATCTATCTGAAAAATGCAAGGTTACTTTATATTCTTTAATGTCCCACTCAGCACTAGTAATCTATAATAGCCCTGGAATTGAGATAAAAATGCTGCCCACCAAGAATAGCTACTAGGTTTGAGTGAAATCATTTTTGTAAAGTGCTCAATTCCCAACGTAGTGCAGACATTCAAACAAAGGGAAGAAGGGAATGAATGCAGGGACTTTAAATCCTTCTTCATTTACCTCCAGATTATATTCAAAGCGAGTTTAGTAACTCTTGGAACTGTCAACTGTCTTTCAAAAACCAGGAAGTTTTATTGTGGAGTAGCCTTTTCATTTCAGGGGCAGAACTTGAAATGAGCTGTGGAGCTGAGCCAGTTAATCTTGGAGGTTTAGGAGAGGGAGAAGTCTGGCAGTGTGAAATCACCTGATTATTTCCCAAGGGTTTTGCTGCCAAATTCTGGACTAGTAGTCAGTGCCTGGAGAGACCCAGAGGGGACCGCACACGTGGCACTCGAGGGTACAATGAGTTATTAGTCTCCATGCCGGGAGCTTGACCCTGGAGACAGGACCAAGTCCCATCTCTATGGGACTGGAAAAACACACCATCCAAACTTTGTTCCCATGGATAAGCAGAACACAAGTACACCCTGCCTGCTTCATGAGATCCACTTCCACCAGGCAGCAGGAGGGAGAAGCAGGGAGACGTGTTTACTGTAGCATCCTTTAAAAATTAAAAATCACTAAATGTATTGAATTATTAAATAATATTAAAAATTAAAAATAATTTAG